CAGAGGACTTAGCTGGAAATAAAAATTGCCTGCTGTAGATCTGCTTAAGATCACTTCTGTTGAGCATCTTCCCTTTCTGCTCTTTTGGGTATGAGAAGGAGCTGTATAGTTAATTAAGTTCAGAAAAACAGTGTCCCTCACTGTTCATTGGAGCTGATGGCAGCTGGAGCTGGAGCAACATCTGGAAGGGCATAGACAGGCATACTTCTGAATGCACATTCACAGAGACTGTACATATGGTTACATGTGTGGGGAATGATTATGCAGCCATCTGTATCCAAAGTGAACTGAAATGATTGCTTATTTATTTGTGTCCATGATCTTTGTGCTTGTTGATCATTGGGTGCTGTTGGGAGGTATGATACCTGTACATACAGTAGTATTTTCCACATTGTAGGCAGAGGGCAGTTTATTTATCCTATGTCGGTACCTTAGTGTTATCATGATGTAGTACTATCAGTATGCTGTTTCTGCCTCATTCCTCTGTGGAACTGACTGGGATACCCACCAGGAACTTGATCAGTAGATCATAATATAGAGTGATAGTCATCCAATACACACCCACATTAACAAATGTATATACCATATGCACATTTAACATAAATATCTGAAAAGGGCTATGGTAGGTCAACATTTGGATCTGAGAGATTTCCCAGTCAGATCCTGAAATGCTTGAGTCTGTTTCTCTTAGCATTGTATTGGGGGGCTGCTCCTTGCAACCCGTTGTTGAATTACTCTAAGATCACTGCTGGCTAGGGCAGGCTTAACAGATCTATGGATTCATTGGAGCCCTATGCACACAATCAGGAAATTCCTCCTTAGTTCAAGTTTGGATCTCTCACTGTAAAGCTTCCACCCATTGCTTCTTGTCCTACCCTCAGGTGCTAGGGAGAATAAATCTACTTCCTCTTCTGTGTGACATCCCTTCATGTATCGGAAGATTGCTATCATGTCTCCCCTTAGCCTTCTCTTCTTTAAGCTAAACATACCAAGTTCTTTAACCACTCATCATAGGATTTAGCCTCCAAGCCCCTTACCATCTTCGTTGTTCTTCACTGCACTCTTTCCAGTCCCTCATCATCAAGCAGGATGGAAGCAGAAGGATAATTTGACTTGGTCCAATACACCTTTCTAACTCACTCCACTTCTTCCATGTATTCACTGGCAATGGCTTGACTAGGAGAGCCACTTACAAACAGAGCTGGAAGGATCAAAGTGGAAACTCACTCAGTTGCAAGTTATATGATGGGAACTTCCACTCTCTGTTTAGCAAGAAAATTTGATCCTGCTATGGACTTCCCATTTCCTCAGGATCTGTTCTGTGAATGGGATTTTTTTGGGAGTGGGGAGGAGAGGTCACTGGGCATGTCTTGTATTTTATAATACTTGGGGTCTTGGCAAATGCAGGACATAGGAGATAAACCGCTCAAATGCTTTTTCCAGCAACAACCCCCCTGCTGGCTACTCTGGCTTTCCAGAGAGAGTCACAGTCTCATGGTTAGATTCCTGTAATTTACAATTCTTTGCTAGTTTTTTTCTTATTTATTTATTTATTTATTTATTTATTTTTCATTCATTCATTCATTCATTCATTCATTCATTCATTCAATTTTTATGGCCACCCATCTTAGCAAGTGACTCTGGGTCTTAAAATAAATTAAAATTTATTTATTTTTCATTCATTCATTCAATTTTTATGGCCACCCATCTTAGCAAGTGACTCTGGGTCTTAAAATAAATTAAAACCAATTTCCATCATAAATACTAAAATTAAAATACACATCATTTATTTATTTTTCATTCATTCATTCATTCATTCATTCATTCATTCATTCATTCATTCAATTTTTATGGCCACCCATCTTAGCAAGTGACTCTGGGTCTTAAAATAAATTAAAACCAATTTCCATCATAAATACTAAAATTAAAATACACATCAGCCGAGGAGGATGTCACAATCAATGGTTGTTAGCACAACCAGGCGACAGGACCTTCACACACTCAGGGCCCCAGGCCCGGGCACATAACCAGGTCTTCGGGGCCTTACAAAAGGCCACCAAGCTCTGGAGGGAGAATGTTCCATAGGGCGGGTGCTACAGCAGAAAAGGCATGCCTCCTGGGCCCAGCAACCGGCATTCCCTGGCCAATGGGACCCAGAGCACGCCCAACCTGCCTGACCGGACTGGACAGATAGAAGCAACTGGGAAAAGACGGTCCCTCAGGTAACCCGGTCCCAAGCCATGAAGGCCTTTAAAGGTGACAACTAGCACCTTCAATTGCACCCAGAAGGACACTGGCAACCAATGCAGCCCACGGAGTAGTAGTGTTACATGTGCCGAGTAACCGGCAGCATTTACTACCCATGCAGCTGCATTCTGCACCAGTTGTAACTTCTGAATGGTCTTCAACTGCAGCCCCATGTAGAGTATATTGCAGTAGTCCAGATGGGAGGTCACGAGAGCATGAGTGACAGTGAGCAGGGCCTCCCAGTCCAGGAATGGGTGAAACTGGTGCCCAACCCAAAGACATGCAAAGGCCCTCCTAGCCAGAGCTGCCATCTGCTCTTCCAGCAGGAGCCATGAGTCCAAGAGGACCCCAGATTGTGCACTGAGTCTGTCTGAGGCAGTACTGCCCCATCCAAGACCAAAGATGGAAAATCCTCAGCATCGGAAGGTCGAAACACCCATAGCCACTCTGTCTTGCTTAGGTTGAGCCAAAACCTGTTGCGCCCCATCCAGGCCCCCACAGCCTCCAGGCACTGGGACAGGACGTCCATGGCATCACTCAGGCAGCCTGGGGTGGAGATGTAAATCTGGTTATCATCAACATACTGGCAATACCTCACCCCAAACCACTGGATAATCTCACCCAGTGGCCAGCAGTCTCATGTAGATGTTAAACAGGACTACTGTCTCAAACCACAGCTTCCTTCCTTCCTTCCTTCCTTCCTTCCTTCCTTCCTTCCTTCCTTCCTTCC